GGAATAAAGAAACAATAAAAAAGAGAAGGAAAGAAAGAAAGAAAATAATGTTCTACACCTATTACAATTACTGTGCGACGTACTGCCCAATTAAAGATAAATAAACAAAGAGATGAATAAACCAACGAGTAAACAAAGAGAATAAGAATAAGCAGTCAGCGGAAGTGCCTGAGCCAGTGGCACCCACAGGAAGAGGGTGGGCGAGGCACCCGGCACTTCGAATATCTCACCAGCTGGGGATGGAAGGAAGCATGCAGGACCGCTCCAATCACTACTAGGAGGGAGGTGGTCCGTCCTTCCCTTTGCTGAAGTTAACTATAGACCTGATGCCTTTCACCGACGTCTAAAGGGAGGGAGACACGCGTGCGATTATAAGGGGGCTGGTGTGAGGCGTGAGAAAGCGAAGGCAAATCTGGGTGGTGGCGGCCTCGCTTGGAACTTTTGTGGTATGCCGGGATTCTATCTATTTTTTAAATTATCCTTTTGACGAGGAAGGAACGGCGAGCAAAATTATAATAATGATAATAATGATGATGAAATAATAATAATAATGATAATAACAATAATAAATACAATAATAATAATGATAATAACAATAATAATACTGATAATAATAACAATACTAATTATCGCAATAATAATGATAATCATAATAACAGAGTCAAGCCGATGAAAGCATGAATCATAAAGTGGGAGTATGAAATTTAAGTAAAAAATATTCAAACTCAATGTTTGATTTTTGAATCTGGTATCTACAAAAGTTCCACCGAATCCACCCAGAGTCACCTAGTGTAAGCTGTGATTAGTCTCTCTCTAACAGAATAATTACCAAAAGCAAATTTCAAACTAGGCAGAGTTAGTTTCTATTTGTATATTATATAATGATACTGAATTAAGGTGATTGCCAAGTTCAGTCAAGGAAGTGAATTAACAAATACTACTGTGTGTTATAATGGAAATTGGAATTGGAAAAGGAAAAAAATGTGCACTGTGTTTCAGATGCATTAATTATTCAAACTTAGAATTAAGCTGATCTCAAATGAAATATACGTAACCTGATTTTTCCCTATGTTATCACACACATACACACACACACACACACACACACCTACAAAGAAACATGGACATATACACTCACTCGCACACTAAATCAAAGTGAAAATGAACAAGTGAAAAAAATCAATAACTACTGTACAATCAAAGTAACTAACATCCATTCAAGATGTTTCATTTTTTTAATGAATTAAAGAATGAAGTCCATGCTTATAAAAAATGGCCGAAAAAAACAAGAGTGAAAATAACTAATTTTACCAAAATTGCCTATTTTTTCTTTAACTCTTTGGCCTGTGACGTTGAAAGGGACATCAAGGATTTATTTAGTGTTCAAGGATAGCTCAGCACACAGACTAAAGGATTATCTACACCTCTGTACACGAAAATAGTTTACAGTATTCAGCTACAACGTGTTTACAGAGGGGAAAAAACTATCGCTTTCGAAAAAATGGTTACTTGTGAGTATTGGATCACTGCACAGCTAAATCTATTAAAAAAAATAAAACACCAAAGATCAAACATCTACTTTCTCTTTGTTATACACTAACACGAAGAATGGAGAACACCAAGACAAGGCAAGTTAGTACACACACACATTTGCTAACACAAAACAACTCTTATTTTGTTATCCATTTTTGATAAACATACCCTATACTCTATGTATCCATATACATATATACACATACTTACACTTGCACACACACACACCTACACACACACACACACACACTTGTATATATATATATATATATATATATATATATATATATATATATATATATATATATATATATTATAATATATATATATATATATATATATATATACATTCATATATATACAGATGCACACGCACGCACACGCGCGCACACACACACACACACACACACACACACACACACACACACACACACACACACACACACACACACACACACACACACACACACACACACACACACACACATATATATATATATATATATATATATATATATATATATATATATATATATATATATATATATATATATATATATACATACATATATATATATATATATATACATATATATATATATATATATATATATATATATATATATATATATATATATATATATATACATATATATATATATATATATATATATATACATATACACCACACACACACACACACACACACACACACACACACACACACACACACACACACACACACACACACACACACACACACACACACACACACACACACACACATATATATATATATATATATATATATATATATATATATATATATATATATATAATATATATATATATATATATGATATTGATATATACGCATCCATACACATAGGAGAAAGAAGCAACTCAGTCATGGTAACAGTCCCCTTGTCACCAGCGAAGCAACTCGAGGCAGGTCAAACCCTCATGC